ATCCCAGTATTCACCAATAAGTAAACAAATAATTCAATGTAAATTCAGTTGCCAAGAAAAATAGAAAAAAACTAACCATTTGAACTTTTTTCTTCTTTCTCACACAGACTGATGAATAGTGTAACTCTCTTAGCTGTTTCATATGAGGCAATAATGTACCATTGTTTGGCAATAAACGTATCTCCGGCGCAGTCCACGATGGTACCACAAATTGTTGCCCAGTCCTTCGGATGCTTGTCGTAACATGTAAATTAAATAAACTCCTCCACGATCGAAACATCCTAAAAAGTTGTAACTCTTTGAGAAAATATAACAGAAATCTCAATTACTTAAAAATCGCATAAATTTTTCGCCCGCACATGTACTGCCTTTTTGTGCACACTTAGCACCCAATAGCTCGTTGGAACAACGTTTTACCGCAAGTTCAGATATTAAGTTAGCCGATTTAGAGGAGTTCGGCCCACTTTTTATGTCAGTTCCAAATGCATTTTTGAAGGGAATTAACTTGTACCCTATATATAAACTGTAACAACTGGCTGCTTCACGCCATACAATATACCTCTCCAACAGTTGTCGGCTTTTCGCGTGACTTCCGCAACAAGAATAATTTGGTCGATCGGTCGCAAAACAGCAGCAAACTGACCGCGGGCGGTACAGCACGGGCTCTTGGGGGAGGGAGGGGGGAGGGTGGTTCATGCAGTGCAACGCTTGTTGAAATATGACCGTTACAACTGCGTATCACTTCGTTCCCTTGCGATGTTGATTCTTCGGTCGGCGCTAAATAGTCAGCTTAGAACTGGCACGGATTCGGGAATCCGACTGTTTAATTGAAACAGAGAAGACAGATGCCCTTGCGGGTGTTGACTGTATCTGATTTCTGCCCAGTGCTTCGAATGTAAAAGTGAAGAAATTCAACTGAGCGCGGGTAATCGACGAGAGTAATTAGAGGTGACAAGGAGTAGGGAGGAGAGTCCCTTCCTCCCTGGAACTGTGCAAAAACCAGGGAAGGAGTTGTGAGATTGCTACTCAGAGTTACTTTAGGCTTTAGTTTAGTTTTAGCTATAGGAGTGCGCTTTTGCAGAAATGGTTTGATCCCGTCTAGCTTGTCTGTGAAGTTGGAAAATATGTATGTCGCAAAGTTGGATAAATGCATTCATATTGCAGGTGCTCCGCGTATTCCATTTTTAACACCGAATCCCCGAACCTACCGACATTTGCTACGATGCTACCAGGATATCACAATGAATCTGTCAAATATCATGAAAACATGCCCAGAAGTAGCAATCTGGATTGTCCAGTCGCCGGATGTGATTTAACGCTCTTTTCAAAGCTTGAAAATGTCCAAAAACTTTGCCCTTCCAACTTGCTCATTTCCTCCCCGTCACGTGAGACATACAGTTATCCTAAAAAGACCCAGAAATTTTACGATACTGTGGGGGCTCATAAAATTTTGAATACCAATTTTCACAGATCAGTAATTTTTTGAACATTTCAACAAACTGTTTCCATAATGTGCAGAAATTTGCAAATTTTTTATTATATATCTGGAAAAAAGTACTGAAGAAGGCACAATTTTAAACCACAAAAATAACGCATTCAAAAATTTGCATACTATATTTGAAACAATGGTATGAAAACCTCGTATTTAAAATAACAATTTGGGGAAGGGAGAGTTTTTTTTCTGCAATGAAAACAACAAAAAACGATGCAGAGGAAGAACTCGAGTTTTACGCCTTGGAGTGGTGCAAGCATCTTTTTTTTGCCTCAGTAAAAAAAGCGGTACCAGAAGCATAAGCCAGCTGATGATGAGTCAAAATCCTGTAAGTGATTTCGATTGCTGCGATTTTCATCGAGACTAGTACAAATCCAGTACTGGAACAAATTAGCAAACTGTAAATTTCAGCTTCTCCTCCCACAAATCACTTTCCACCACCCATCCGTTTCTCTCCCAATCCTCTACACCTCGGTCCTCCTTCCCCTTCTTGTAAGTAGCGTGAATACAGCACTAATCACTGATATACAACGCTTCACAAAAAATGCAAAAAGTACAAATCCTAGAGAACTTTTTCAAAAATTACAATCTTTCAGGGAAAAAAATAAGTATTAAAATCTGCACAAAATTACAGTTAACTATAAAGGCACAAAAACAGAAGCACTACATCATCAAACAAGAAATGCAAACTCGAATGATACTGTAAGAAAGGTTAAGGTAAAAGCTATAGCTTAGCATTAATACGAATACTTAAAAAAGGTCCTGCAGAAAATAAGTCTTTAAATCAAACTGTACAACTCATAAATACTGTAATGAAGGATACTCAAATTCCTCGCTCCTCCAGCTCATTCAAAAGCCAGAAGTCAAATTCCTGACACATTTACGAGAGACGGAATTACAAGGAAACATTCCGGATGGTACCAAATGCGCCACGCCATTAATTTTATAATTTGACCAGAAACGATTTAGTCACACCTAAAAAAGCACTAAAACCATACCAAATATTCCTGGAACTAGCATGCAGTGCGATTCACATACTTTGGAATTACCAGGATATATCACGGAGATGATGATTACCAGTGATAAAACTTGCTCAAAAGACCTCTTTCAACTGCCCGAAAATACCAGAATTTCTCCTACGTTTCAAGTTTTATGAAAAACAGAAACCCCCAACAAGCTCCGGCTAGCAAGACGGCTGATGGTTCCCCCTCTCACGGGCTGTCTAAGAGCAAACTAAACGAGAATCGTACAGTGGGTTCCTGATTTTGTCATCGAAAGCCTTGAATCCTGGAAAACTCAAAATCTAAAACGATGACAGAATCAAGATGCATTCCAGGGGTGTTACATCCACCATCAATTCATCAATCGAAGTAAAAAATGGAAACTCTAACAAAGTAAGCGACCACTACGACAGTTCCTGAAGAGGTGGCGCACATATATGGGAACAAATGATTGGCACTAATTGGAGCTTACGATTAAAAAGCCTGGCAAAGTTGCGTTCTGCTTTTGGAAAGCATACCAGTAACACCATCTATACCACACCAAAACATCTAAATTATTTTGTTACCACAGTCGTCGTACTGACGAGGTCCAATTGTGGTAACGGTAAGAAATGCATGTGACTTAATGGACCGAAACGTTTCTTACCTATTACAAATATTTCCTTAGTCCCTTTCTCCCAATATACTTCGCTTTTTCTTCGTTTTTTTTCTCCTCATCTTTTCTACTTCGTTATTTTCTTCCCATGGGATGTCCAAATCGACTGTCTGGGCAGTTTTGACATTTTTGGTTCTAGCCCCTCAGTTATAATTTTTCTTAGATTTCATCAGAATTTCTGGACCCTGAAGCTAACTGCAGGGAGCAGCAGAAATACTAGGGAATTTTCTGCTACTTCTAACAATTTAAAATAAGTCACTGTGTAGTAGAAATCAGACCGGCATAAGTAGTAAAATACAACAGCAAAAAAAACAAATCATACATTTTCATGAATACAACTTATGACCAAAGAAAACCTCGTAAATATCTTTTGGTACAAATGTAAAATAGCTGCATACATATAATGCATAATTTCTAAGTTCTCGAACAAGACATACATAAAAATTCAAGAAAAGAAGATTTTATTAAAATTTGCCTCAATTTATCGTCATCCATGGTATTTGCTGTAATTTCAAGTAAAAAGGAAGCTTTAGAAAGGAGCTTTAGCTTGTTTCACCAAAAAAAAAGTTAAAAAAAACCATAAACTACCGCATAAATTTCTACAAAAAAAAAGGTTGCCACATGCTCAGAAACATGGAAAAAACATTTTTATGCAAGTAGGAAGCAGTGAAAGATTGAAAGAGAAAGCAAAAAATGAAGTGAATTTGTACGTGTACAAGGAAAACAAACCACTGAAAAGTTTAAAATTTAGTTATCAAAATTTTCAAAAACTCAAAACCGAAAAACAAAAAATAGCAAAATCAAGAATTTGTAAAAAAATTATGAGTGAGAGAAACAATGCTTTCCTAAAAAAACAAACTTTGCTACAATTCAGTTAAGCTTGTTGGCAGATGTATTCTTGTAGCGTTAGATGGCGGCTCATCATCATCGTCTGCTTCCGAATCCGTTATATCAGCAGCATCAATTAAACGTTCTTTTGGTTCTTGTGCTGGTAATGGCGCATAGCTGAAAATTATTTTTAGAACTTAAAAAAATTCAAGAATGAAAGGCATTTATTGCGTTTTATAGAATTTCATGAAAAAATCATATCGCACAATCGGAGTTCTGCAAACCAATAAATTCGAGCTTTTTTAACCAAAATCGGAGAAAATATTACCATAAAATTTACTATTACTTACTGAAATTACCCTTAGTGTTACTTTACCTATTTGCTTCATTATTATCACTAACATTACTACTGATGTCATTACTAAAATTATTAATAATATTACTGTTAATGTTGCCATTATTGACACCATTAATATTACTATTAAAATTATCATTATTAATATTATTAATATTACTGTTAACATCATTATTAATATCATTATTGTCAATATTATTATTAGTATTATCATTAGTATTATCATCAGTATTATTACTAGCATTATTATTAACATTATTAATATTATTACTAACATTATTAATATTATTACTAACATTACTATTAGTATTGTTGTTACTAATATTATTATTGTTAATACTATTATAAACACTATTATTAATATTATCATTAACATTAATATTAACGTCATTATTATTAATATTTTTTCCATTGACGTTATCATTATCGTAAATATCATCATTATCATTAATGTTATTATTATCGTCAATGTTATTATTATCAATAATATTATTGTTATCACTAATATTATTATCATTAATACTATTATCACTAATATTATATAATTAATGTTGTTATTATCATTAACATTATAATTATCATTAGTATTATCATTATCATTTACATTACCATTATCATTAATATTATCATTACCATTAATATTATCATTATCATTATCATTAATATTATCATTATCATTAATACTATCATTATCGTTAATATTATCATTATCATTAATATTATTATTATCATTAATGTTACTATTATCATTAATATTATTATTATCATCAACATCATTACTATCATTAATATTATTGTTATCATTAATATTATTATTATCATTATTAATATTATTATTAATATTATTATTAATAATGATAATAATAATATTAATGATAACAATAATATTATTATCGTTAATATTATTAC